CCGGCAGCCGCCACCTCTACCGCCAGTCCCGCCGTCGCCACCGCCGGCAAACGTCTCCAGATTTTCCACTCCAAATGAGCCCCCTGATATCTTGGGCGAAGAAGATGGTGAGGACCATGGGGCCGAGATGAGGTGAATACGAACGCGTTGGTAAGGTATCTGACATCCGTCCATGGCTAGCGCGAGTCAACGGCGGAGATTCGGGGCAGACTCGTTCGATTCTTCTGCTTCTTCTCCTTTTTTTTTCTGAGGAAGTGGTCGTCTGTCAGGCCGGCGCCGCCGGAGGAAGGAGGGAATGGATGTTGTACAGTGGAGAAGAAAGCCCGATAGAGGAATTGCCTTTTGAATCTAGGGACCTTCTTTAAAAATTTGATAAGTCCTAGGAACTTGATTGCAAAGCTAGAAATTTTAATGTAATTCAATTTAGTCCTTGGGTCACATGTGAAATTTAGAGAAAAGATGTAAAAAAGTATTAGTTTTTATATTCTCTTTTATACTATGTATTTTTTAACCTAAAATACTATATAATATTATATAAAAATAATAACATAATATAAATAATAAATTATTTTAATTATTTAGGTTAATTCAATTAATCAATCGATAAAACTGATTATTTTTTTATTTTAGTTTGAATTTGAAAATAAAACAACCCGCGCTTCATAATGCACAACAATATTAAACAATATGCACGTTAGTGACTGCCAGACTGCACATTATATATTTTCAACAAAAATAATATAAAATATTAAGTAAAGAATTCTAAATATATTTTAGAATATAAGTAATAAATTATTTTGATTATTATGGTAATTCGACTAACCAACGATTAAACTGATTTTTTCGATTCGTTATTAGTTTGGTTCGGTGTTGGCTCTATTTGATAAAATAACTGAAATAATCGAACTTATATATGTTATTTATTTTCAACAAATAATAATATAAAATAAAAAAAATTATAAATACTAAAAGCATTGCTATAAAAAGATAGTTACACTTCGAGTGCACATCAGTGTTAGAAGGATTGCACATTAATGTATGCCTTGTTGTACTATATCGACCGAACCAAATATTTTAATCGAATATTATATTTTGTTTCAGCAATTTGTTTTTATTTTTAAAATTTTGTTTATTTCAATTTGTTGTCGGCTTTAATTTTTGAAATAACAAAAGTCGAATTATGTAAAAAAAATAATATTTTATTGTATATATATTATACATATTTTCAAACATAAATAATATAAAATATGAAATATAAGTATTAAAACACTAAAATATATATTTTCAATAATTTATTATTTCGATTAACTGAAATAATTGGCTAACAGATGAAATAAACCAAATATTTTGATTCGGTTTAATTAGTTTGTTTTGTAGAAATCATTAAAAATGTTTGCACTGCGAGTGCACAATATTGTTAAACAAATGACATATTAATGACAACCGGAATGCACAATATCCAATGAAATCAACCGACATAAAAAAATTAGTTTGAAACTTTATATATTGATTCTATTATCTCTTTTTTTTTATTTACTTTTAGAATATTGTTATTTAGATTTGATGTCGGTTTTTTATTTTTTAACAAAAAAAAAGTAGAATAATCGGACAACCTAACTATATAAAAATAATATTATTACTTTTTATATTTTTTATGTTAAAATAATATTTATTTTCAGTAAAAAGAAAAATATATTATCGTACTCTTCGGAGGGACTGTGTCATGTCAAATTCATAGCTAAGCTGACCATCTATCTGCCCTAAAAGCAAGAGCTTGGAAAACGGGTGCCAGCAGTTCGGTTGAAAGTCGGAATAAGGCAGTAAGTGAATACCTGGTTCTGGCTACTCTTTTTTGATGTTATTTCCGATATCC